GTCCCTTTGACGATTTTGAAATATAGTGCTACGAATGGCGAGACTCACTGACGATGCCGGCGAAACGTCTGTGAATGTACCACGTCCACGGTCCAACTCTGGTTGCTATCATGCACTCTATGGACTCCAGACAAGGTGCGTCCATCTACGTCTTTCTACCGATATGAACATGTTGTGAAAACAAGGACAAACTCCTTGTATACAACGAAAGTAGACTGCGACCATACAACAGTCCACACCATCCTGGTGTAAGGTTACGGTTATCGTTACACCCAGCAATACTCACTTGTGGACACTCACCAAAAAACACTTTGCCAATAAATATTTTTGCTAATTATTCGTAAATGATGGTTTTGTGCTCTGACGATGTCAATCGCATGAAGGATGAAAGCTCTGCCCAGATTCATCGGAGTCGCTTTATAGTGAACCGAGGGCTTCTTGGCATAATCCAAAAGTCAAAAGTAGAAGACAATCCTCCCTCGAATCACTTGCACCCATCTTTTCAGATTAAATGTTGGGCATACCAGTATCAATCTGATAAGAGATTCTTCAAAACCCAGCATCTCTTTACATCTCAGAATTGCATATGGGAACAAACGCTTTGTAAATTCAGCACTTTACGTCAAGACCAAGAAATTACTGGTTTACTATCCTTTGGTAATTGTCCATTACTGACAATTTATCATTTAAGACGATGTCCGTAACAGGACAAACAACATCTCAGCACGGCTTCGTCGGAGTGGCATAAAAGTGGGCCAAGCTCTTCTTCGTCCAATTTATCGGTCATAACTCCAAGGCTATCGTCCTTAGGTGTATGGTGTGGCTAATTTAAGAATCAACTCCACCCGCATTTTCGAAATAAGTTATGACCCTATATACTCATTAAGGGATTCTTTTAAACCCAGTCTTTCCTCATAACCATGAGGACTTTGCTTCAATATTGATGCTTTGGAGGTACATCTAAGACCATTTTATCTTCCCATTTGAATTCCGGATCATTCTGGATCAGATCGGACCGAATTGGATAGGAACGAAGCAACCTTGATCGTTGAACCCAAACCCGAAATGAAAATCAGCTAAAAAGGACACCTTTAGCGATGCATCGAAAACAACTATCAATAACCTTGATCAGCCAGGAGTAGATGGAAACTGATTTGATCACTCCGAATCAGACCAGATCGGCTTGTATCACTGAAAAGCTGTTACTTACGCACGAATTGAGAGTAAGCTCAACAATGGTGAAAAATAAAGGGAAGTAGAGTGATTTAGATGCTGAATTTGTGCTTTATATACCTCCATAAATACAACTTGTTTTATTATCTTCGACATTCACACTATCGGCCGATGGGCTTCTACAAAATTTCCCCATCTTCAATGACATTAAAGACGATTGCACAAGCCACTTTACGGCTCTCGACCATCCATTGTATTAGACTTTCATTCTCTTCCCTCAGTCCAATTAGGCTCAGTCCAACTACGGGTTGGGAAAATTGGGAAGACGAGGCCTAGAGGGGACAGATAAGTCGTCTGTGAGAATAAGAATATTTCGGAATTGTAGATGCCTCCATTTATGAGAATTTAGCAAAAAATACATTTTTTCATATCACAAGTCCAGACTGTCTCCCCACTCTCGGTCGCTAGGCCAGTGTCCGATTTGTTGTCAAGGCTAACGGCGAGCAAGGAGAAAAGTCGAGCAAATCTGATGCAGGCGTCACTGAGACTGGGCCAAACAGCAGTCGGGCAGGTCGGCTAGGCAACCCGTTGATCAAGCAAACATTTAGCTACGACCTTGCCGGAATTCTCCGGATGAAAAACATGTGTGGGCTTAATTCGGCCGAAACGGCCGGCTCAGCAATTCTGCTGGCCGAAAGCCAATTAGGAGCACATGGGAAGAAAGAGACGGCCGAATCCTTCGCAATAATGAGACACAACTGTGTGACTCACATTGCTCGGCGAAATCTGATGAATTGCACACAGGCACGTGGACACTTGTGAATCATACGAAGGTGGAGCCAAGGGAGAAGACAGCGGATGTCGTTCATTTGCTGGGAAAACAGGAGTTGTCGCATGCATGGGATTTGAGGTCTTGGGAACCCGCCGAACGGACGTCGAGAGGTGCAGGACGTGCCGATTTGATGGTGTATCGCACAACCTTGACAGTCGCATAATCGGCTCCTACCATTCACTTCATCAGGTCGGACGACCAAATACAACCAGTCACCTTCTGGACTAATCGAACGTCGAGATGGCCACAAAGAGTGGGAATTTGTAGGGGGGTAAATCTGTCGCTAAGACACGAAACCCAAGGGGAGTTCTGCTTTCGTCAGTCAACTACTGAGCATGACCAACCAAATGCACACTTCTGAGTCATCGGATCTACCCTTGGAGAACTATAGAGGATGGAAGAACTTAAGAATAGAAAAAGATTCTTTGAAGTTTCCCATGCTATTCTGCCACTGAGATGGGCATTTTAGATCTCGAACAAATTAGAAGAAGACAAACACACAGACGTCGGAGCAACTAAGAAAAAAGCTCTGAGATGCTGAGCGGAAATGTAACTAAGATTAGAGGAGGCTTGCACGGGAGGCTTCAGGACCCAGAACCTCAATAGATGGAAAAAAATTATGCATCGGTCTATGGTGACTGGGTTAGAACAGAAAATTAGCGGTTTTCTACACACTACTGAATTTTCCCTAGTAGCCTAATGGAGTTCACTATAAGCTACGAAGAATTCATCAATATTCCTTGATTTAGTTAAGCTTTGTAGAATTTGCCCGTGAATGTAGCCACAGCGAATTGAAGTGCATGTCTAACAGTGGAAGTTCTCATCCAGTGTAGACTGCTGCTTCCACTTATTCTCATCATCATGTGGGCGCATCAGTTCAGTGCACCATCACAAGTAAAATGATCGCAACTCGACTGTAAGCACATTACCTTGGGGTAATTTTTCCCGTGTTCAATCTACTTAAAGCGAATTCGGGCCCACTTGGTGATGGATTTATGTTTACCTTTCTCATTGAGGTGTATGGCAATCCCTGATCAACACGCGTTTCCGTTAGATCACGACATTCTAGCATCAAAGTCACTTCAAACATTTGTACAAGTACGAGGAAACTTGTTAATATTGGCAGGCATTTACGTTTTTAGGCCAGTAATGAGCTCTGAAATGATCCAAAGAATTACTCTTTACATGTTCAGTCTAATTTTCCGATAATTCTGCTAACACAAACCAACAAATAGACGTTGTATACCGGCAATAGTTCACTGGCTGATTCGGGGTATCGAAAATGGAATTGTATGCACCTTTTAAATAAAAATTCTAACACAACCTATAACGAAAATGCATTTTTTTTTATTACTTTATCCGACAATGCGCAAGTTCAAAGTGCTGCAACTCAAGCAATCACTCAAACACCTTATGAATATTATGAATATTTCTTAGTTCTCGTAAATAAAAAAAACTCGAATACACGAAGACGATCTTGGGGAGATGCAACTTCTGTGAACTAGGCAATAACCGTGGGCTAATTAGAGAAGGCACTTGAAAGTTTCAAATAAGTAGGCATAGGCCTAACAGGGCAGGAGTTGAGGTCTCAAGAAAACATAAAAAACTTTCAGGCTGACTCGTGGATAATCAGAATTTCATCAAAGCCCAGTTTAATGATGTTTAATAATGGCAAGAGCTAAATGAGTACAACAGCCGACACGGTTCTTGCAGGCAGCGTGAAATATCTGATCGGTCGTCAAGCCGAAAATGCATGAACTTTTTACCACTCACTTGGTCTGCTTAGATCGAAAGACTGCACATCTCATAATGTATTTAATGTCAATTGAATTGTTACTTGACTGAAGAGCAGAATACAGGACAGTTTAGTAGGGCGTTAAGAGTAGGACTGTACACGTACTATGAAATTGGCATCAAAAAGCTCCGAGACTGAGACCACATTGTTCAAGTTTCTTGGGGCTTCCCGAGGCCTTAGCCGCAAGTAATGGCACGACTATGACCCAGCTCTGAAGATATCTCTCGAGCCGTCTGACAGAAGAAAAATTATAATATTTAATTGAAACTTAAACTGGCTATCCCGAGGACTGCGTCGATCAGAAAATCCCAGTTAGGTCAAACGGTAGCTGGCCCAGAAGAATCCATCACTGCTTTGTGATGGCCTAGATCTACGAAGGTCGTAGCAAAGACACATTCGAAATGAAAATTAGTTCAGAAATGGGGCATGAAAAACACATTTCTAGAAAAATCATAAGCTCTAGTCGAT